GTGAACAGTGATTGGGGTGAGACTCGCAGTATTTCTTTATAAACGAAGCATATGTAAATATTCGATATTGATCAAATTATTATTTCTAATAGTTCAGCATCCAATATATCTATACAATTTTCAAACGAAATATCGTTTTCTTTCTATTGCATATATTAGGAATTTTTTTAATATTAGTAAAACAATTATTTTAAACATTATAATACAACATTACTTAAAAATTACCCGATTTTTTTTTCTTCTTCCTGCTTGCCATTAAATTATGAAAAATATTACCTACATAGAAAATATTTATCAATCTGAATTTAACAAAATATAGATTAAATTTATAAAAGTAACGTTATTTACGTATTTTATTTATATGCTTGATGTGATTTTTGTTGTTGATTATTTAATACCGATTAATTTATCATCGGTTTATAATTTATAACTTTTTATAAAGTAAAACAGCATTACTGCTTTCATTCGTTAGTAGTATTATATCATTTTATAATTTTATAAATTCAAAATATTAAACATAAACAATCTCAGAATTATTTACTTTGCCAAAGCACAATCTAATTTCGCAATATGCATTTGGGGGAGTGCCTATAAATCTCATTTCCATTCATATTACATTTAGTAGCTTATTAAAGATAATTTTAGGAAAATCAAGATTTTACTTAGTAAGATGCTCCACTCAAGTTTCGTTGTAGATAATTTTAATTATATTTATATCAAAAATGTTATGTATTATATGCACAATAATAATTTTGATAATATTAAGTTTATCATACCATGTAACACTGAAATAAAAATAAATCAAACACCCAATCTATTTTTTGTAATTCTACATTTGATCATTATAATCAAATTAATATTGGTAATAAATAATATATATATTTTAAACTAGATTTAAGTAAATTTAAATCATTTAAACACTAAAATATATTTAAATTAATTTTCCCTATATGATTTTTTTTGTGCCGTATAATTAAAACGTTCATTATATTATTGTACTACATTTTTTATTATTATTATGTTAATTTGTAATTACATTTTATTTTAGATGATACTTATGTAGATATTATATAGTTAGAAGTCATCTTCACATCACATCACATAAAATCCATAGATTTAGTGAGTAGACCAATATATTGTGCATTACCTAATATATGTTTAAAAAAAATGTTAATCATTCTGTTATTGGTGAATATATATTATATTATTGTTAATAAGTATATTTCTAAGTTCATATTTGATAAATTAATTTTCAAAAAGAGTGACTTGAATAAGTTAATGAAACAGTCGATACTATTTTTAAATGTGTTTAAAATGTTTAATGTGCTGTCATATTATTAAAAATTAAATATAACTTAATAAATAGTTTATACATAAAAAAATATATTTTACTTGTCCTCGTAATTTTCTTACATGCCATGGATTTGGCATCCATAATATCTACTATCATAACTCATATAATATCAAAATAAAATTTTAATATAATTTTTTTTTATTTTGTGTAAATTACATGCATTAAAACTAATCTTGTTCTACATTTAAACTAAAAGACTTGCTAAGAATCGTAAAATATTTTAGTTTTTACTTAATTTTTTTAAACGGAAAACAACTAAATAATACTTATTTAAGTTTTAAGTCATAAGAAAAAAACAGTGCATTTAAATATAGGACATTATTTTAAGACTTATCGTCAAATTTGGGTTTTGTGCATAAAGCGTCCCAAATTGATACGGTAGTTCCGTCGTCGTCTCATGTGTGTCGACGATCAACTTTTAAAGCATCGATCGTCACACTCGGTCGATCGACGATCGTAAACTTCCGTCTTGACAATCATCTGTTTTTATTGGCAAGCCTCGACGTGTTTTTATGGTAATAACATAACATGAAAACGTATGCGACACGATAAACCGCATACCTCTTTCGGATATAATAAATTATACATTGCATAGGACGGTCTGTATTACAAGTTCGTCCACGTCGGTCGTATTACATTTGATATCTCGGGGCTATTCGTAGAATTTTGTCTGGCGTTAATTTGGGCGCAGCACGTTCGGATCACCCATAAAAAAGTAAAAACAAAACGAGAAAAACGCAACGCATTATCTACATTGTTGGCGTTATGTGATATATACGTATACATACAGACGAATGGTTGGATACGTTTTATTTAGTTAAAATACCTACAGGCGTAAAAACGAGTATAACCGATGATCTTTTCAGTATACACGCCTAGCGCGAAATCTCCGTTAGACGTTTGTTAGTTTTCGCGTTACTAAATATGAATGTATGATGGTTTTTTTTTTTTTTTTTTCTATCGCATTTCGAAATGACGAATTCAAATTTTATCGCGCGTCTATGTGTATTTTGTTCGACTACTTGTCACTCTATTGGTGTTTGCGTATTCGTGCCCACGCGCTCTAATGCCAGTAGATTTTCCGTTTTATTTGCAACGTATACATTTTATTCGGCATTCGTGATCCATGTTTGCGTAGCGCGAAAACGGTTTCGGAGGGCCGTGGACGACGAGCGAAAAACGAAAAATAAAAATAAGAACGTGGAAACGTGAAATATACCACTAGCCGTAGCGCGTTTCGCACGTGTCGCCGGATTCGCCGTTTACCGTTCGCGCGGTAGCCGAAACCGTCGGTGGTGGATGAGGGACGGAAGACGCGCGAGTGCGCGCACCGTAATAATATAACGCGCCGCCCTAAGACGATATCGAAAGTACGCGAGAACCGTCTCTGTCCACAGCGCGGAACGCGGCCGTGTCGCGCGTGATTCGTGGGCGAGCGCGCAATGTTAAATAATAGTGGTACACGGTGAGCGAACAATATTGTATAATGAAGATCGTACCTGAGCACACACGCACTGTACATAACATATGTATATGTGTATATATACATATATATATATATATATAAACGTGTGCGTGTGTATATAAACAATGCTATACGATATCGCCGTAGAGCTTATACTATGCGATGGAATATTATATATACATATATTATAATCCGTATTAATGCTAGTCTGCGGCGTACTCGGGGGACCTGTGTGCAGAGCGATGACTGATAAATCCTCACCCTTAATATTATGTACACACACACGAGTATATAGCATTACGGACTCGTATGCGCATACGAATACCGCAAAAACGCACACACAAATACGAGACACACACACACACACACACACGCACGCACGCACGCACGCACGCACGCACGCACGCACTCACATACACACGTATATTATAAATCGTTTTTAATGGCACGTTTGATATTTAATCATACGAGTATTAGTATACTAATTCCTGTGTATCCGCTGTCAAATTTCATACACCGCAGTGCAACGCGAGTACAATCATTGGAAATACCTATCGATACGTTTGTGTACGTACAACAGCGTATACGGCGCGCGCACAGAGATTGACCCATTTAACAGGCGAGGTACTCGTTATTTCACAGCGTCCGTCGAGTGGAGGTTGTTTGTAACAATACATATCAATTATTTTATCGCTTCATACACGTTTATCGTTCGAAGCGAAGATGTGACCGGACATGCACCTAATTTTTATCGCCTTTCTTTTCGCTTTCGTGTGCAATCAATTTTTCGCGAGTTCGTCAAAAGTTTCGAACACGTCTACAAATCCGTCGCCTCGATAAATTGAAAATTGATACTACGCAAACGGTTGATACGATACACTTTAGACGTGCCGTTTCTACAGTTCTTCGGACAATTTAGAAACAGTTCCGTCGGCAAATGAAGGCATGTTATATAGGGATTCCAGTGGACAATGTTTGACGACCGTCGGATAAATCAATTGATTTCACTGTTCTACAACTTCTAAATAGTTCTATGAAATACTTTATTTTACTATTTAATAGTTGTGATACGAATGATTTTCAATGTTCCCTAATCATTTTGTGTCTTAGAATTAAGACCTTATTTGAAAAAAACAACCATGTATTTTGTCGTTCATCATAATAACTATTTTAACTAAAACCACATCATGTATATAGGCCAAATTTTGTATCTATATACTCTAATATTCGAATGTAAGCGTTGAAAAATCTATTAAGTGTATGAAATATAACAAATCATGGACGTTTTAATATTTGAGACAAAGTGTTTTTTTTTTTTTACTTGAATATGTTTAACGTTTATTCATTGTAGACGTTGTTCCAAGATAGACGTTCCAGTGATACACGACTGCGGACGGTTCTTATCGGGGCGACCATTTTAATCGAAATTATAGTTTATCAGCGGACCCCCGAATATTACACTATAACGGACACATGTTGCCAATTTAATAAATAAAACTTTGATAATGTGGGAATGTGGAAATTCTGAGCGAATTAAGTTTGGTATGCAGTTACAAGTCATTTTTGTTAAATACTGCAGTTAGAAGAAATTAAATTAAAGAAGTTTAAAAGAAACTCAAGGCGAAACTGAGACAATTATTTCATTCATAAACAAAGGTCGAGAAAAATCGGTGGCAAAAAAGATTTAGATAGAATCAACCTAACTATTCAGAGCTATAATGATTATAAAAATCACCAAAACGTGATACAATATTTAAAAAAAATTAGTTGTCGTTACAGAGGGGAAAAAATATAAATGTTTAACTTTAAATGTTAATATTTATATATAATACATATATTCTATTATTATATTGAGCGCTTGTTTTTTACTTTTTTTGATTTTCAATTTTTAAACTTAAAATGTTTATATTATATATTACTATATTAATAAACTGCGTTGCACAACTTGGCAACGCTTCATTAAATTTCGACCGCAGTCTTGTCATTTTTTGGGTGCTAAATAATACCTTTTGTTATATTATGATCGTCCGCAATCGGGTTGCAAAAAAGGTAAAGCGTCCACAGTCGTGTTTCACCCATACGTTCGGTCGGAAATCTGTAAGCATCGACTTACGGAGACCGCCCACTCTCGAATAGAGCACACCAAATCTAGGCGAATAGACAAAAAACAAAACGATAAGATTATAAAGAAACAAAAATGGTATTTATATATATACGTATATATAATTGTCCGAAATTATTGTTATTGGTGATACCGCAATCAAAATGGGCGATACGATATATTCGAATAAAAAAAAAAAATTATAAAAAAAAAAAATTACACATATGTAATACAATAATATTTTACGATAAATAGCCCATTAGTAAAAACACTAATCGAATAATATAAATTAAATTATAAATTAAACGCACGCGCGGAATCTGGTCCGTTGAAACATACGAAACCTCGTGTAAGTGTAACGGGTTTCTCGACGTCACCTGTCCGCGGGATCAAACGACTACCACGACGACGCCGGCGGCCGCTGGCGGATGTAGTTGTTCCGGTTCCGTTGGCTGCTGCTGTTGATACAGCGGTGGCTGTGACGAAGGTGACGCGGAAGACGAACTCGTGGTGGTCGTCATGCTCGCCGTCGTGGCGGCCGCGGCGGTCGTCGCCGTGGCCGCGGTCCCGTTTACGGGCACCGTCGCAGCGGAGGATGTGCGCTCACGATGATCCGTATTTTCCTGCGCCGTGGAATCACCACCGCCGTCGTTGGGCCGCGCGGTCTCGTCGTCACCGTCGTTCGCGGCCGACTGGCGGCGATTGTTTTTGTTGTTGTGGTTGAATTCTTCGGTCGCGGTGATCTGCACGGACGGCACCATTTTCGGTTTGAAGCCGCCGTACTCGATGTAAACGACTTTGGTGCGCGGCGGTTTCGCGGCCGAATAACCGATCCGGTTGGACGCCGCGCCGCCCGGTTGCTGCAGCACGTACCGCGACTTCCGACCGTGGAAATGGTTGTGCTGCGGATACGGCATCGCTAGCCGTCCCGGCTGCACCATGGACGACTTGACGTAGTACGTCCACGGCACCGGGTACTGGGACGCCCACACCGGATGGCTGGGTCTGAACGGCGGCACCGGCTGGTGCTTGCCCGCGGCGCCGCCAGCCGTCTGATCCTGGTCGTATTTGATGCCGATCACGTTGCCGCTTTCACCGCCGTGGTCCGGTGACGGTTTCTGCGGTTGCGGGTGCAGCTGCAGCGGCGCGTAGTGATGGAAGTTGCCATTGTTGTCGTACGCCGGTTGTTGTTGCGACCTACTGTTGCGCCGTGTCAGCGGTCTGCCGCCGTCTCTGGCGCGGTAGTGGTGATTTTGCTGCAACTGTTGTTGTTGTTGTTGTTGTTGTTGTGGATACTTGCCAACGGCACCGAAGTTGTTATAGTAGTGGAACTGACCGCCACCGTACTGCAAAGGCAACGGTATGTACGCGGCCGCCGCGTTGTTATTGTTGTTGTTGATGTTCAATTGTCGTTGTTGTTGCTGGCCAAGGTTCTGCTGATGGTAGTAGTGATTCGAGTGTTGCTGTTGTTGATCGTCGTCGTTGTTGAGGTTGGTAACGACGTTATTGTTATTACCGTAGTAATACGAGTACTGTTGCAGGTCCGAGGGGACGTTCGTCTGTTGCGGTTGCTGCTGTGGAATCTGCATCAGTTCTGAGGCGTCGGACGGTTTGGATTGCTGCGGTTCCGGGTCGGGTTGTTGCAGTTCCGATTCCGACTGTTGATTTCCGGACGGCAGATAATTGTACTCGGGTTGAGACGGTTGCAGCAACGATGAGTCGACGAGGTGCTGTTCAGAAGCACTGGGAACGGAAACGATTTCCATTACGGTACGTTCTCGCCCGACAACGGAAGAATACGAAGGTACCACCGAAAGACCATCGACGGATGTGGATTGTTGCTGCGATGATGGCCATTCCGCAGACACGGATGTGGAGGGCATCAACAACGGCGCTAAAAGAAGTTGCTGTTGACGCTGTTCCTCGTCTTGTTTCGAGGTATTACCACTGTTCTGTGGCTGCTGAAATCGAATAAACGTTTTAGTACATGAGTATGTGTACGCGCAAAACGCCGTATAACATTATGTTCGTCTTTATGGACTCTTAAAACAACGATTAATATTACACGAGATTGGGATTTTTTTCGTCGAAGACATGAAAAAATAGCAATACCCCGGAGGCATAGTACGCATTAGGTGCCATTAAAATCAAAGTACAGCCGATGGAATAGCTTATTCGATAATATGGGGAAGTTTGTGAGTTGGTTAATACACGTTCGTCTTGTGTATAGAAAATCCATCTCTCTTTATGCCTCATTTTGTTTACAAACACACACACACACACACACACACACAATATATACTCGTGCGTTCACACAAACAACTTTTGCGCGCGCTTGTATTTTCGTTTTGTTTTCACTCGCGCTTTCTATGGCAGTGGCGACGGGTACACTAGAAAACGCGTCGAGGCGAATTAACACACGGCGCGGCACAGAAGTACACGTGTGTACCGTAAAAAAAAAAAAAATTAAAAATATAATATACAAAACCGGTCGGCGGTCTCTGAGCCGATGCTTTTCGCGCGGTTATACTTATACACAACACACACACACACACACACATACGCGCCGCGCTCTCGAACACACAAGCGAGCTGAACAATGCTCGAGGGCTCGTATCGACGCGGTGCTGTCGTACACACACGTGGCGTCTGTACGTCGAAAAGGAAAGACCGGTTTCGGTATTGAGTCTGTACGCGACGTGATACACGTGTACGTACCTGTAATTTGGTGTGTGTGTGTGTGTGTGTAATTCTTACATGTATTAGACGAGGCTGTGGTACATTTAGCGCTACAGGTAGTTTTCTAAATAGTAGCTCTCACTTTCTTATCTTGTAGTTCGCACGTAAAAATTATACGTATCCACTTGGTGTGTACGCGTGTATATAATACCCAGAGAGAGCAGGACGGGAACTCAAAATCTACGGGAATCGATAGCGTAACCCGTGCGCTCGCCGAACGAGAGTAAAACATTAAAAACCAGACGGCGGACCGGCACCGTGTTAAGGGTTCCGGTGTCGGTTCGGTATTTGTTCGCGGGATCCTTTTGCGCGGGCAACATCATCATCATCCACCTCGTACGCCCGAACAATTTGTTCCTATTCGACGTTTTTTTGACCCGTAACAACAATGCAGTCGGGAAAACGATGTACGTTTTTAATCTCGAAAACACGTTTCCGGGTAAACGATCCAGCAACGAACCAGGACCGCGGGTCGCGGTACGGTCGCACCACCACTCCACCCATATAGTTGCCGGTATCGTGGCGGACGTGTGCGTATTTCGTTACGACGGAACCTTGCGGGCCCCGAGCACACGTGAGCGCTGCGCAACCGAACCCGCGCGCCACGGGAGACCGCAGAACGGTGATTTTCGTTTTAATTCACAGTAACCCGAGACCGGGAACCGCCGCGTACGTTCGCGGTTTAGGCCGATTCCCGCGGTTGGAACTCACTTTGCGGTAACCGTCGCTGCTGCCTCCGTCGTCGCCGGCCGGCTGCTGCGGTTGCAATCCGGTCGTCGGCGTCTGCGATCCCGTCGAATAGCCCGTGATGATCGCCACGGTTTCCTGTGCCGCAGGAGATGACGCCGTCCCGTGCGGCTGGTCCACACAATCCGTTGCGGGACCCGGAGACTCGACGACCGTCGCCGGTTGCCCCGCGAGATTTACGTCGGTACCGGTAGCCGCGGCCACAGCAGCCGCCACTTGGGCCGGGGCCGCGGCCTCCGCGTTCGTCGCACCACTGCCGAACGCTAATAAAAATATCGCCACTGACACCACCAGCATGAGCGTGTTGCGCCGTCCACCTGCGGCGCTGATTTTGTTCTGTAAAATTCAACACGAAAGCGTTTATTAGACGGCGATTTAACAAAACAAAAAGCTAATACAAAAAAAAAAAAAAAACACTTAGCGTCATCGAGAACGCTATGAACGATTGATTTTATTTTCCGGCGTTCGCAGAAGTGTTTTCATTTCGAAATCGTTGTGACAACGGATGTATCGATAAAAATGTCTTGGGTATGTGCCATTTTCTACAAATAAAAACCTAAGAAAATTACTACTCTTCAATTTATAGTACATGCATAGTATAACTAAGTTATAACTTAGTTGAACTGATTTACAATATATTTTACCAGTTTGTTTCCAAATATAATCTTTCACAATGAATATGTGTGATCAAAGAAAAGAAAGAAAAGAAATTAACTCTGGACTGAAATATTAATATATTCGTATAATTACTGTCTATTACTGCAGTAACATGTGTGTCCCGCCCGTATACCCACCACATACCTACCGAATACCTATAACATGATACTTTATTTTACGTATACGTATTTCTTTACAACATTCGTTATGGGTATATAACGATACCATCGTACACCCTCCAATAAATATCTGGTTGTGACTAATAAATACTATTGAATTGCTGCGATATACGTGTCCGCAATGCTGATATCAATCGTTGGCACTATACGACACTTAAGTTGCAATTAAAAGACGATAGCAAAGTTATGGGAAAAAGAAAATTAATCGTTTACTCACCCTCATCGTCGCGTCGGTGTCACAGCTGTCGTAATTATGAATTGAATCGCTGGTCACGGGCATTTTACGATGACATTGTGCGATCTTGTACGATTTTACAGCCGTAAAGATCATGATCAATCCTGTCTCAATAGATACCGTTGATTCGTCTTTGTCGTCACCGTTGCCATTCACTGGGATTCAACGAACGGAATTGTCGTTATTAAATTAATTTAAAGCGATTTTTCTCGGTCAAACGGTGACCACGTAAAATAATTGTACGGAGAATCGCAAACGCGGCGATACAGTTTTGCGTTAGGTGCTCGATTCGGAAACACAAAAATTTATAAAAAAAAAATAATAGAAAAAAGATCCCAAGTATTTGAGAAACTAAAGAACGTTTACGGAACGAATACAGCCGTCGTTGCCCGTTAGTTGGCGATCGTACACGCTGCAAAATGACTGCTGCCACGACCGGACGAGTCTGTCTGAGAACAGGCACTATGCGCTGCGGATCCTCGGCACTAAGGGTTTGCAGATTTAGCGTGCGAGCAGACGGCGTTAACAGTGGACGAGTTGCGATAGTAGTAGTAGTAGTAGTAATAGTGGTAATGGTGGTAACGTAAAGTATAATAAGAAAGTGTACACATGAGAGATGGTTGAAAACTCTCACTGCACACACTCACCAAGAGCGTCGACTCAACCGGTTTGATCGCGGTCGCAGGACCGATTCACACCGTATAGGTACTACGACTTGGTGGCCGCCGCAACGATCGTGTACCTGTAAAGCTAGACCCGCCGGGGTGGTACAGGAAATATCTCCTATCCGAAAATACCGCGTGTGTGTGTGCGTGCGTGAACGTATTATAATCGAAAAAACCTATATTATTATTATCGTTATAAATCGTAATAGGAGAAATTAGTACGGATTCGTGCGAATTATATATACATTATGGGTACGTGTATTGAGAAGGTCCGTAATCGACGATAACTGGTCGCCCCGTTGATCATTCCGAAATACAACGACGAGATGGCGATCTGTCTGGTGTTGCGTTTAAAATTAACGTGCATACCTATATTTATACACGGAGACTTATATAAACATAATAAGTAGGTATAATAATTCATTACAGCCGTATTAATGTATTAAACGCGAAGCGCAGTAGTTGGGTCGCTGATGCTAAGATTAATCCTACATCTTATTAATGTTTAAATAACGTTTCCAGTGGTAGTAGAACTAGTAGCAGCGTATAGTAATGCGCCATCACATATCATTACATACGCTGCGTATTACAAACGTCGAGACCGAACGACTTTCTATAAGTTTAATATTTGATAGATATAGGTACCGTCGCGCTTATTAATACGCTTATTGATAATAAACAATTATACGGAACAGTATAAATTTAAATGATTATTGATATGCAAAGTGATTTTAATTATCATACATAAATAACGAGTAAACGGGTTTTTCACCTAGCATTGCACCAAAATCTATAAATCTAGGTTACAACTGAATTTTATTCATATAAATTATACATATGAAATTAAAAAGAGACTAAAAATAAACATTTTCACAGCACTGAATTACAAGTATTATTTCTTTATATTGTACAGTAGGGTGAGTTTAATAAATTATAAGTTTCACGTTGGTTGAGTTGGTCAATTTTATTAGACTCGTTGGTACAAATTATTCGAAGTATTTAAGTATTTCATGGTAAAATTAGTATCGCTATTACTTTCATTATTATTGCTATTAAAATACTATTAATGACTTTCGTAAATCGTCAGAAAATCAATTCGATTGCCCACAGGTGTTCGTTTTAGTGCTTACATATAAATACTACATATAAATTCTGGATGGTAGAAAAAAATCAAACATTATTGGTTTTTGCGGGTATAATGGTTTCGTTTACGGGTATAATTTATTTTATTTCTTTAGAAGTCATGAACTAGAAAATGTCTTTAAATTTTACCAAACTACTGAATCATAGTTTATGTTTTTGTCTTAAGGAAATTAAGGAGTTTATAAGTTGTAAATTTACGCTCAAGGTTTTAACTGGCAAATAAAATGATTTTTATGAGTTTTACAGTATAATTGAGTGACTTGCTTATTAATTTGTCATACAATCAAAATTAAATTAAAAGTTTTTAAATACGAGTTATTAGTACATTTTTATTTTCGGCCGAAATTATTTATTAATTAAAATTATTCATAAATATTTATAAAGTACACCAAATACTTTTTTCAAACTATTCATTACAAGTATAATGTGATAAGGATACTTTATAGGATTTCATAAACGTATTTTTCATGATTTTCATTGATAAATATTGACAGATTTAATTGGAAGAGTTTAATTTTTAAATTTTTTTTCTTGTATTTTTTTCGTAAATTATATAAACGAAAACTTCATAAATAAATACACACATATACATAAATGTAGTGCACATTTTTGAGAAAAACTAGTTTAAATTTTAGAAGGAATTAACTCAATGTTTTATTATATGACATCAAAATTGAAATGTAAATAAGTGGACCGATTACAAGGACCGGACATTAACCATTTATCTTATTTTACTCATAGTGGTGAAAGGTGTAGAATATTAATAATAATTATTATTGTTGATATTGTACATTTTTTTCCTTAAAAATTATTACTAACCAAGCAACTCCTATTTTTTTCATCAGACACTCGTCTTGCTATACTCATTTTAACGCATGACAATAATTAATTATTATACCAATGCAATTACGAAAATATTCGTATTCGTAGAGATTTTGTTAATAGAACTTCATTTTCGTTTAGTAATCAATAAATCATTAAAAATGGGCTTTAAATATTACCTACGAAAAAAATGTGATTAGTAGAGTTTTTGGTTTATTTTTTACTCAATTGAGATTCGATATATAACGACTGAAACTTTTACAGATTTATTTTAAAATCTTGTAAAAAAAAAAGAAGATTATTTCTATAAAAATTCCTCGCTCTATTAAAAATCTCAAGTTTGAATTAGTAAAAATAATAATTTAATTCTCTATTCATTTTAATAGCTTGTATTAATGCTGAAATTAATTTAATACATTTTAATGTGTGGTTTACGAGTATACTCGGGTGTACTCAGGTCTGTTTCATCCAGTTACACTTAGTTCTGTTAGGTAGAATTATGTGGAGTTTATTTTAAAAAATCGTGCTACGAGTTTGTCGGCGGTGTAATTACAGTTATTCACGATTTAATCAGAAAAAATAAAGTTAGTCCTATATTTTCCAAAAACAGTCGTTCTTAAGCAAACGTACATGTCTTGGAAATTCCCAATAATCGGAGGTACTCTATTATGATGAAACTCTCGGAGCACTTAAAAAAGTGAAAAAGTGTATACCCAAAAAAAAAAAAAAAAAAGTAAAGAAATAAACCGAATTGTAAAATCAACAACTTGCTCGTTCCACTCAGAATCTAAAACGCGTACATGTACGTTTAAGGACGTTATTCCATTCGGCTGATCACGTAATGAAATGTAGGTAGATAAACAAACTGTATCTACGACGTGCCGGTTTTGAACCGTTTTCACAAAAATTACACACGCCCAACTCGAAGCGCGACACAATAGTAATAGTGTTACCAATAATCGATAAACATAAATCATTCGCGGAAAAACACGGATAATACGTTTTTTTTTTTTTTTGTACAAATGCGCGCAACGTGTGAAATTGCAATTTTCTTGTTTATTTCACGTACACCGTACATCGGTACATATATATATATATATATATATATATATATATATATGTATGTATGTATGTATATGTATTGGTATATTTACGTGTAGCACGGTCGTACGTCAAATATAACGCATAATATAAGTGTACCATATATGTATGCACTACACACGAATATATATATATATATACATACATATATAGGTCATTGCTGAAAACCGCTACCCGGGCTAACCGACGCCGGGTATAAAATATAATAATATTATTTAATAGCAATTATTACAATGATAGAAAAAAAAAAAAAAATAATAATAATAATCGTAATGTACCACAGGTAAGAGGTATTTGTGTACAATACCACGTACGAGTTTATTATAAACGTACGTGTACGCTTAATAATCGATATTTTCGAATAGCTGCGGCGGCGGCAGGTGCTGCGCGCAAAACGACCGCCTCCGTCGCGTCATCGCGGAACTAATACCGCAACGGCCGGCTAATAAAACGCAACATTCACATACGCGCGGGGCGGCCCCGTCGGCTCCGACGGGATCCGGAGCACTTTCGTCGCGCGAGTTGTCGTGCCGCGGTGACGGCCGTAGCGACGTATGGACGGGGCGACCGAATCGCGTCTAATCCGTTGCGACGTTTGAAACAATTCAATTTTTGTTCTCGGCGCGTGCACCACCGCGGCAGAACGTGAGCGTACCCGTGTACGCTGTAACGTGCTGTTGTACATAAACGCATCGGAGAAATAATGAAAAAAAAAAAAAAAAAAACGTTCTGGTTGTACACCGGTTCCGCGCGATATTTGCCGATGTTTGCCAAATCGTTTTCGCGACTTCTGCGATGAATACTGTATATTTACTGCACACTTTCGTCGTACACGTTTTACGTTTTTGCACCGCACAAAGTGTATCGTAGCGCGCGTTTTAATTTTAGACCGTAAATCATATTTTGTTGTATGATACGTATACACGACGAGAAGACCGAAATCGGTCGCGTCGCCGTATACAACATCACACCCAGGAGCGTTTTTACATGTTCCCTGCGTGTTGGCCTGTGGAAAATTGCCTCGCTAAATGATTAAAACAATGAACCTGCACTCACTGAAATATTATTTAATTACCTACTACATATATATATAAATTAGGTAGGTGTGCAAAACAAAATTTGTGTTAGTGTTAAAACATCATTTCTCGAGGTCTAAACCATTTTTCTTAATAATTAATAACAAAATGCATTCTTCAAATTTTCCGCAGTAGGCAAGTGCTCGCAGGGGCTGATACGTTTAAACAGGTCACCGATCATACTGTGTATAAACAGTATTGTTATTGTTGTTATTCAACTGTACGCGATAGGGTAAACGCGAGTACACGAGCATTCGACAGGAACGCGGAAACGCTTGGTTCTGTTTGCATATAGTCGTAGTAGCGTCCGAGCGCTCGCGCGCGCCGCGTTTCGTCAATATTAATAATTTATGTAATATTTGTTATTATCATAATACAATATATATATATATATATATATATTATATATATATATATATATATGTTTTATAGACGCGTATCACGAACGAATACGATAATTATGGCAGTAATATAATAACGATATTAATATACGCGTATAATCGATTAAAATTTTATATCAGTGTGTATATTATGTATTTACATATTTTACGAGCGATATAGCGTGTGCTGCGCGCGCAAATTTAGTCAACAGCGGCGTTGGCTATAATACAATTATACGGTTATTATAACTGGACGCGGCGCTAAAAAGGAGGTAGCGAAATGAAAGTCATAAAAAATAAAAAAAAAATAAAACGAATTAAAAAAAATTAAAATATTACATCCCTTTTACCGCCGAATAGGTAACATTTATGTGTACGTATATATCTATAAAAATTTATTCCGTATACGTGTGCATAGGTGCTATGACAACGGTGACGTGCTACGTTCACTCACTCTACTCGCTCGTCACTGCCCCACGAAGTGCGGGGTCGAGACGCGCCGCGGGGTTTTCCTTTTTTTCCCTTATTTTTATTTTTATTTTTCCCGTCCCGTACACGTCCGAAGTACGCCGTGCACTGCAGCAGCGGCGCGGCACGACGATAATCTCTACCGCTTTACCCTCCTCGCTATGGGCATCGGCGGCTGCGGCGGCGGCGGCGGTTCGTCTCTCGGGGACACGCGCGCGCGCCAGCGAGATTCGGTTTCCACCTCACCGCCGCCCGCGCCCTACACTCTTCCCGCAGAGCCCGCGATGGTCTGTCGATCTCGCCACCGCCGCCGCTGGTTTTCCTCGAAACTACCACCGTGCCGTAACGCCTACGTTCGACGCGTGGACGCCGCCGGCGGCAGAGAGCGCCGCCGGCAGCGGCAGCAATCGTCGTCGACGCTGCCGCCGCCGACGTCGCCGGGCCCGGTACCCCTCTCGCCCCTCTCGCACTCGCCGACGCAAACCTCCCGGCCGGGCGGCGGTGGCGGTGGCGGTGGTGGTGGCGGCGGCCGCTCCGAGCAGCAGCGAACAG